GGAAAGTTAGCCATCTATTCTAAAGCACCCTTTAAATATTGGTGGCTCAGGTGTATTACAGAAACATTTTACAAATGTTTTCGTAAAATTGTTAAATTTTGGATCGAATTCCTCAGGCAAGGCTGGCTTTTGGCACCCATGAAGCCCACTGCCATATGCTCCCTGCTGCTAATTGCTGCAGATTGCGTTGGTAGCTTCTGGCCAGTGGGCTGCATGCACTGTGCCACTACACCTTCGCAACAGAGGGGTGAGGAAGGGTGGAGGAGCTGCAGCCAACTACACCAGCAAACCCAGGATAGGCAGCTGAGCTCTGAGTTTCACTGCTGCAGGGCATGGCGGTTGAGGCCCAGGAGTGTGTGACCAGCATGAGAAAACAGAGAAGAGTAGAGAACATTGATGCTCATTGGAAGCCCATCATCTGGAGCATTGGTGCAGCAGCAGATGCTATCTGGGCAGCCAGAATTTCCCCCCATACTCACAGAAAGATCATTCCTAGCAGCAGCAGAAGGTGGCTGCTCCCTCCTGGCCCAGACATCATCAGATACTCCCAAGAGGCTGGGCAGTGTAAGTTTGCTTTAAAATATAAAGGCCTGATCCTCATGTACAAGAGGACCTCTGGTAGTGTAAAGGGGCATTAAAATGGGTGGAAGTATAATTTAATAGTGGCATCTTTTTAAAATTAGTCATTCTTGTTGCTACCCTGGCTATGTTATTCTTTATATACCCACTATTCATCATGGGTAAGCAGACTAATTTCCTTTAAGATTCCTTCTCTCTGTTCTACTAGTAGAATATCATTGCAATGTCCTGTCTTATTACTTCACAGTCCTTCAGGACAATGTGTACTTCAATGAGATGCTCTCTTCAATTCTCCCTTTTTTTCCAGAGAAACTCTTTGACAAACAAAAGAAAACAAAAAAATCAGCCATAGTTTCTCTAGTTGTTGCTTAAATATCAAAGCTCTTCAAGTCCCATATTGTGCTGGTTTCTGTCTGCTGTAACTTTGGCTTTTTAAATAATGTCTTTTTCCAGAGTAAGAATACTATGTATAGAACTAGAACTATGCATATCCAATGAGTTCCTATTAAATACATCTACTAAAAGTTTGCCAAGTTCTTTCACACTCTCCTTAAAATCCTGGGATGGATCCCATTCTGCTCTGGGGGGTTTTCACTCATGAGATTTACTTTCTGTTCACTTGGTTTGGCATAATCCAGATTTCCTTCTGAAATTTTTTTCCTCTCTTGTGACATTTGCCTTCAATCTCCTATATAGATAGAGTGACACACGACTACTGGGTTCTTTAACAACTATATTTTTGATCAATAAATCACTCTGTCTATGGTAGGTCTGAATGTCTCTTTAAACTCCTTTTCCTAGTGTATTTGAAAGTTGTCTTGTTTGTTGCAACCACCTATGCAATCTTCCTTTCCTTCCCATTGCAAGCTTCATGCTGTACTCTTTTCTATTGCTGCTCTGTATGGTACCTCTGCTGCATATCTTTTACATCACTGTTTCTTACTTTAGACGCTCTTGTTCTTTTGCAATGACCCACTTACTCCTGGTTTGGTTGGTTGGTTTTGTGTTTTGCTAAATGCAACTTCTTGACAAATTGGTTGTTGCTTTTATCCCATTTGTTTTCAGCCAGCATTTCCCCCACACTTCCAAAATCTGCCCAGACAGGCACCATTATCTTATTTCTAAGCCTCACTTTTGTGCTAGTTTTAAGTTTATGGTCAAATTCCGCAGCCACTCCATTGCAGAGCTTCATTGCAGACAGTGGGATTATGCAGAGGAGAAGTGCATGCATTAGAGCAGTGCTTCTCAAAGTGGTGGTCCGCGGACCGGTGCCGGTCCATGAGCCATCAGCTACCGGTCTGCGGCAAGTTTCCTCATAAGAGCGTCGAATAGGATAATAATATGGCACCGGTCCCTGGCACATTGGGGGGAAAAATTGCCGGTCCCCCACATCAGATAGCTTGAGAAGCACTGCACTAGAGGAAGTGTTTACAAGATCAGGTCCCTCTGTAGCTTCTTTAGATGCTTCCCTACCTCTGTGACTCTAAAGACATCACACAAATGAGGTATCACTTTCTGATTTCCTCATTGACACACTGTGGACCAAATTCTGCTCTCATTTGCAGCACTCCAAATCCAAAGTGAAACCATTGACTTAAATATACAATAATCAGGGCCAGATCCTTACTTGGTGTAAATCAGCATATCTCCATTGACTTCCATGGAGCTAAGCCCATTTAAACCTACTACAGACTTGATTCTCAAGAGTCCTTGTCATCTGGATAAATCTTCATTCTTGGGTATTATTTTTTTTATTTGGCAGATAAGGGTTTTATGAGTCAGACATTTAAAAGGAAGCTAAATAGGTGATATCCAAGTGATCCCATTTGGATTCACACGGCATGCTAAGCCATTGCCTGAACTTTCATTTAGTCAGAGGTCTCCTTGGCTGTCACACTGTCTGGGATAGTGTATGTCAGAAATATATTTATATCAGTCATGCCAGTTTAAAAAATATATTTTGCTGGCTAATATGCTGCCCACGTATTCCTATTCGTAAATTCCAAGAAAATCCAGCTATTTATTAAAACATATTAGAACATGGAAAGGATATTCTTGTTTCATTAAACACATCTTAAACACAGCTGTGGTTGATTTGTACGTTGTTATTTACATACCAGAAAATGTAGCCCATGACTAGAATGAGAGATAAATCATAGAATAAGATGCATCCAACATGGCAAACTATCCCCTCAAGGAAGGAACTGATCCTATCTTAGGTGAATGTGCAGTTTCACACCTACCACATCACACAACTGTTTACAGGCAATGCTGGCCCACTGGCCAGAGACAGACTGTGAGGGGGCTAGATAGCAAAAAGCAAGAATCCTCCGCTGCAGAACTGTTTCCCAGACTTAGCATTTGGCTCCTGCAGCTGCCAATGACTCTCCGTAAGGAATCATGGCTGTTTCCTTCAATGCTGGAACCTGCAGAAGAGAACTCTGCACTGGAGAGCACACAGAAAACAATCAGCATAGGAAAAGGGAGTTTCACAAGACAGCATGAAGATTGGGCTGTGGGTTGTAAAAAATCAGCCAGCTTTCCATCTAGAACAGCTGACTTGATGCAGTGGGGATGATAATGCAGTGGGGATATGACTAATGCAGTGGGGATGTGAGCCAGGCACAGACCTTGAAGAAGGAGGTGGGCTTCATGCAAAGAGTTTAAGTGTGCCATGAAAGTCACTTAACACATGCTGATGTAACCCACTGGTCAGGGTGGTTAATGTGTCCGTCTCTGCGCCCAATCCATAAAGGATGCGAGTTTGTTACAGCCTCTAGCTACAGAGGCTGGCTGTTCAGCTCAAACTGCAGTAATTTATACTTTCAGCTCAGGAGGGCCCCAGTTTAATCCTGCTGTTGGCCAACATTACAGCTGTCACAGAAGTGGGGATTTGTCCAGAATTTGACTTTGCTGTGAGTATCAGATACTTGGATGAACTTTTTCTATCTGGAGGAAATATGCGTGTGAGTCCGGTACAGATCTCAGCCATAGGGACTAGGGGCCAGATCTTTAGCTGGTGTAAATCGTCATTGCTCCATTGAAGCTTGTTGAGCTATGATAATTTAGCTCAGGACTTGCCCCTTTTCCTTTAGCCCAAGGAATTTAGCTCTACAGGTTCCTGGTTCAGTTCCCAGTGTTAGCCAAGATGGTGGCCATAATGTTGACTGAAGGGTTGCTCCAGGCATAGGTATGGTGTGCATGAAGGAGAGGAATGAAATGGTAAGGGGCGAGCTCGGGTGGAGCCCCGAGGATCGGACGACATGTAGGAGGAGATGAGGTCAGAGATATTGGAATAGAATAGTGAGGTGAGGAGCAGAAGCTTGAATTGAATATGGGTGAAGAAGAGAAATCAACTGGAGAGATCTTAAAAAGAGAGAGGCATGGTCAGAGCAGAAGGTGGGGAAGACTATGTAGGCAGTGGAGGTTTGCACTCACTGAACTGGAGAGAGATGAGATTGGGGAAAGGACAGTGAGTAGGAGTTTATAGTAACAGAGGCAGGAAACTATGAGAAAGCACAAACCAGAGTTTCAGCAAAGGACAAAATTAAACATGGGAGAGAATGTGAGCAAAGGGTATTTCCCCATATTAGTTTGGTTGCCTTTTGACAAAAGCTTTCGTGCTACATTGGGATGTAATAATATACTCGGAGGATCTTGAAATGTCTGTTACTTCAGAAATGCCTGTTCTGATTGACAGTCAGAAAAATTTTTCATGTGAATTTGACCTACTGCAAATTAAATTAAAAAAATCACAAATCTGACAGATTTGACCAGTTTGGGAAGAATTTTTCACAAAAATGTAAATGACTGTACTTGTTTAGGGCAGAGACTGCCATTCCTGTTTAAAATTTGGTGCCATTGGCCTGTGTCTTATAATGCACCATCAGTTTTTGGGCAAAACTCACTGATTTCAGTAGGTACTTCAGCTGTAAAATTGATGGCATGTGTCTCTGTGCATAAGAAATAAATGCCTCATCTGGCACCATAGAGGTCAATGGGAATTTTGTTATTGACTTCAGTGAGCTCAGGATCAAGCCTTGAGAAAATATATTAAAGGCAATTCAACATTACAAGAACTACAGTAAGTAAGACTTCTGCAACCAGATTTGCCACTCTGGGTCTCCAGTTTTACACCAGTATAATTCCATTGACTTTACTGAAATTACTCTGGCATAAAATTGGGGTAACAAAATGGTGAATCAAGGCCTTTATATTTTCATCAGACTGTTTTAATTTTTTAACTGTATTTCTAAGCTTTATTTCCCTTTGTTATACATATAACATGTAGTTAGCAAATGTTGTGTGTGTTGCATAAGTCAGTGAAATCATGAAAAATAAACCAACCAGTTCAAAACAATTAGTGCCAGTGCCATCTTATATCAGGGCAGAACTAAAACAGCTAATCTGTCTCTTTACAGGTGCTCCGTTCTGCTGCAGATTGGTCAGCTGGTATCAAGTACCATGAAGAATCCATCCACAATGCTTATGTTAGCGTGATAGAAAACAGTAAACACTACATCTATATCGAAGTAAGTACCACGGATGCAAGGCAATGGCAGTTTGGTTCAATGAAGTGCTAAGCACATCCTGTGACCTTCAGCAGGATAGTTCTTTATTTTATTCTCCTTTTGTAAATTTTGAAATGTTAATATTAATATAAAGCCTAATTTGCAGCCCCCCCGTTGACTTTAATAGGCTTTGGATCAAGTCAGTAATTAATGTACCAGTACAGAACTCTAAATGTGGATTAAAATACAAGGCCACTCCGTTACTATTTCTCCTTCCAGAACCTCTAGCAACTTTTGTCTTCCAGCTGCCTTCTTGGCTCTGCTGCATTCCCAGCCCTACATATCAAAGTGTTTGGTCTTCCATCGATGCGCAGTGGACTCACTTAATAGTATCTTAGAACTTGCATAATTCTCCTCTGTATGAATGGACTTATAAATGCAGGAATAAATGGCTGAATGGAGACACTTATTCTGTATCTGTTTCCATCTATTGTTTGGATGTTTTTTACTTGTTAGTGTTTAAAGAGGGAGATTAATCAAGAATAATTATTCCCCCTGAGCGCACACACACACACCATTTAATTAAAATAATACGTTGCCATCCAGGAAAACATTGTACAGGATGTAGCTTTATTTGCGTCTTGACTCAGAATAGTCCCACAACCCTGAAAGCATGTAGATTTATGACTTTGTAGACAGCATGGGTGAAATACTGATCCCAGTAAAGTCAATAGCAAAACACCCATTGACTTCAGTGAGACAGGATTTCACCTCATGTGTCAAAGTAAGAGTTTCACAATGGCAATAATGCCAAATAATTATCTGGAGATAATTACATGCTTGGGAAGCAGTCTCTAACTTGCGTATGCTTCATGCTTTGCCATAGCCACAAAATCAGTTGTTGTTTTTAACAATTCTGAGGATTGCTCATTTGAGGCCGTTATCTATGCCGATGTTGAAAACAGTCACTTAATTTTTTTCTTATCCTAACAAAAAATCATACATTCTGGGTTTTGAGATTTTTGTAGTGATTAAACCCTGTGATCTTATTGTGTCATTGCTACTCTGTGTTCAGTAAAAATGTTTCTTTCAAACTGTAGCAAAATGGGGCCCCAGCCCAATGTCTGTTTATTTATCTTTCCATGCCCCATTATTGTAGTATCTGAATCCATGACGATCTTTAATGTATTAATCCTCTCAACCTCTCTGTGAGGCAGGACAGTGCTATTATCCCCATTTCACAGATGAGGAGCTGAGGCACAGAAAGACTAACTGATTTGTATAAGGTCATTGAGGAAGTCAGTGGTGGACCAGGGAAGTGAATCTGCATTCTGGGCCTAACCACTGAACCATCCTTGGCAAAAAGACAGTGAGATGATTCTGAATTTCTTTGTGTTCACTTTTCCCTTAGAACCAATTTTTTATTAGCTGTGCTGATGACAAAGTCGTTTCTAACAAGATTGGAGATACCATCGCTCGGAGGATTCTTAAAGCACACAGGTATTTTTTTGCTTTCGAAAGAACTGTCAGGATCTTGTTACTAGGATTATATTAAAAATATTGTAAATGGAATCCAGACTGCATTTGTAAGACACGGTTTAAAATAATATGTAAAGGGACACAGTCCTTAGTCAGAGGCAACATTTAACTTGGCCAAATTCTGCTCTGTTACACCAATGTAAATCTGAAATAACTCCACTGAAATTGATGGCATTATTCTGGACTTGCACTGGTGTCGCTTAGTGTAGAATTTGGCCTTATAAGATATGTTACTTCAGTCAAAAAGCAAGTTGTTGGTACTGTATTTGGTAAATCTTACCTAACATTATGGGTCCATTGCCAGCGTTAGTTTCATGATTCTAACTGTTCTTCAACTTTACACACAAGTAAGTTTAATCATATAAACTGGATACGTGGTTTATTGAAGATCTCTATGCAGGGGATTGCTTTTAAATGGGGAGAGTGAAAGCTGCCATACTCTGAGGAATTTGACCGTGATTCAAGTTTAGACCATTACTGCAATGCCAGCCCCTTCTCTGATAAGCGCTGGAGGATATTTACAATGTCCACATCACTGCAAGAGAACCGTAGTATTTTAAATTGTACAGTAGCTACAGCAGGTTGCATGGATGGATCAGAGTCCGATATCTTAGTGCTGTCACTTAAGAACTGGCCCAGTGATAACGTGGCTAACTGGAGCGTTTAGCAACAAAGGAATTAGTTTTGCCTTTTCTATGATCCTGGACAGCTTTGCTTAGGTTTGTTTTTCTGGTGTCTATCTTGCAGGATATGTCTACACTGCAATAAAAGATCCTGGGCCTGGGTTAGCTGACTCAGGCTCGTAGGACTCAGGCTGTGGGGCTATAAAACTGCAGTGTAGATATTCAGCCTAGGGTTGGAGCCCAGTTGTGAGACCCCGTGAGGGGGGAGGGTCTCAGAGCCCAGGCGCCAAGCCAAGCCTGAACATCTACATTGCTATTTTAGCCCCACAGCCCAAACCCCGCTCTCCTGAGTCAGTTGACTGGGTTTGAGGCTTGGTGCCATGGGGTTTATATGCAGTTTAGACATACCCTAAGACATTTGTCATACCCTACGGTGTTGGATTGAGTTTATTGCAAACCTTCCTCATTTTCCTTCCCCCTTTCAGCTAACACTTGTGCTTTTCACTGTGCATGTGGATGCAATGTCTGGTCTCTAAATATTCCTCTCATGCATAAGCATGTGTGAGCTGATTTTCAGAGGTGTTAAGGTCCTCAGAAACCAATTGGAGTCATCTTGATTTCACTCTCTTCAGCGCTTTAACATGAAATACAGACAAGTGAAGGAAGTGACACTCCTAAAAGAGAGAGAGAGATAGGGTCTGATTTTCTTCTTCTTTACACTGGTGTAAATCAGGAGTCATTAAGATGATAGCAAACCAGTGTGAGGTCAGAATCTGGTTTGGAGTAGTCAGAGACACCCTGGAAGAAAGACAGACAGTGGAGAAATTGGTTTGCTTCAACATGAACACCACTGTCTACAGCCAGAAGGCGGAACAGCTTGGGGGTAGATACAGGAACATGGTCATTGAGCAATGTATAGTGAAGGTATCTGTACCATGCTATGGAGAAAAGCCTATAGGCTGATTCTCTTCTCATGCCAGTGTAAATCAGGAGTAACTTCAGTGAAGTCTATGGAATTATACTTGGGTAAAATCAATGAGAGAAGAATCTGATTCTGCATCTACAATTGGATATACATCAAAGCCAGAAATATTTTGTTGACCAGAAATATTTTGCAGTGTGCCTCACAATGGCATTCAGTATTCAAAAGTGCTAGTATTTGTACGGCAACCCAGTGGTTGTGGCTCCCTGGCACTTCGCCATTGTGGTGCGGCATAGTCCCAATCTATCAGCGTAGTCTTGTTAAGCTGGAGAGCCATTCCAAACATATTGTAGATTTCTTACCTATCCATAATATCATATTTATCTTTCCAAGAACGGATGTAATAGGCTGTTTTAACACATACTGTTGGACTGGGTTTCCTCTTTGTAGCTTAAACAGCTGCGTTAGAGCCAGCAGAAAATCTACTGTTTAGGCCACATCTACTTTATGAGCACAGGGTCCGATTCTCAGTTCATGTATATAGTTGCACATCTGAGAGTTAGCACAAGTACAAATTGTAATGTAGCCGTGGCAGGACAAACCTTCCTGAACCACCTGGGTATGTACCTTGTGACTTAACGGAGTAGAAGATCAAGTCCACGCTGAATCACCCAGATTGCATTTGCTATAAAGTGCATGGCATTGGCTAGGATGAAGAGAGAAGTAATGTTATACTTTAACTTCCATAGGGAAAGGAAAAAAGGCCAGCTGGCACACAGATATTTAATCCTAAATGGAAGATCTTGGTGGAGTGTTCCCAATCAAGTATCATATTTCTCTATTCTGTAGACAAAACATTTTCCATGTTTATAATGTTCCTCTTCTCCTTGTCTCCTCTGTTTCACTGGCATATTTTAGTAGGTTTTATTATCTGTTTAGATAAGCAAACTGGGTTTTGTGTAAGAACTAGCTGATTAAAAGTAATTTTTTCTCACAATACAGTATATTTTCATCAGTATCAATAATTATATCCTTAATTTCCAAACCTTTGCAATTTACATCTCTTCTATAATGTGCACATGAGACATTTTAACCATTTCTAAAGTTTGCTTTAAAAATAACATTTAATTAAAATTTTATCTATAAACATTTGACAGCTTAAGCTGGGATAAATAGATTCCTTCAGTACTGTATTCCCTTTGTACTTCCTTTTACTTACTAAAGGATACACTGTATTGTTCAAATACTGAGATTACAAATGACACATGTTAAACCATGAAGTGCTTAAGCATATGCTTAGCTTTAAGCACGAGTAATCCTATTGATGGTCCAAAGCAACTGGCAATAATTTCAGGGCCACCATGGTAGCTGTTCCATTAACAGTAGAAATTCCTCCACTGATACATGTACTAGTAGTCCCATGAGAACCAGTTTTGATCCCCTGGCCATTATTCTGGTCTCTCATCGGAAGGTGCAAGCTAATTAAGGATTTACCAGGAAAAAATGGTCTTAGCAAAATGTAAACTGGTCCACCTAGTTTTTTAAAATAGCTTTATCCATACTGAAATACATTGCCACCTAGTGATGAGTAAATTAAATAAGACTCTTTTCACATATAGAGTACAGTAACAAAAAAATGTGGGCTTTGATAATTTAGGCAATCAGAAATTACCCACCATTATTTTCAGGGTGGTAAAAACAGCATCTATAGCCAGGGAGCATTTGAATTTTAATTAGTGAAATTGCCATTGTTTGGCACCCTACTGTTATTTTGGATTACTCAGGCTGAAAGGCATCTCTAGAATTAAGCCACAGCGGAAATTGGCTGGCCCTCAAGATAAGCATCTAACTAACAACAAAGGAAAAGCAAAAACGGGTAGATTTAGCAAATCAGAGGTAATCCAGGATCAGATCATAATTAAGGATACTTGAAAACTGAACCCTTGTGATGTATGAGGCCAAATATTTGCCCTTTCTAAATATTCTGGGAAGGCCCATTCATCAAAAGCTGGCCAGTGCACTGAGTTTTCTATCTATCTCCTCTCCCAGTGTGATCTGCAGCTTGGAAACAGGACAAGGTTGGGAGAGGAGGAAAACTGTAGATTTAATTATGTTTTCATGCTTGTATTGACTTTACAATAATAATTTATGCTGCTAGCCATGTTCAATAAGATGCTGTCCATTTAAACTGAGGTTCTCAAAGGCACTTATTTCTATAAAACTAGACACAACAATCAAGAAAATTACCTCACCCTGCATCTCTGTGATGCATACCATACCTCTTACACTTAAATAAACATGTCCCAACCTTTCTTTTTATTCTACACCTCTTTTTGTTGTTTTCAGTTCTTGGTAAATTACACCTTCTGTGCACGTGCATTTAAATAAATGCTGTAGCACTGACCACAACTGTGGAAAACCTGAACCAAAAATACATTTGACTCGCGCTCCCTTAAAAATGAAGTAGAAGCCTACTACAGAAACCATAGGAGTAAGTCAATGGAATGAGAGCCAGTGAATAAGGACTGGTTGCAAGATTGGTGAAAAGAAGTTGAAATTGCAGGAAAATATCCCAAAGGATTGTTGGATTATTTATTTTAGGGACAGCAAACGATACCGAGTGTATGTGGTGATCCCGCTGTTGCCTGGATTTGAAGGAGATATTTCAACTGGAGGTGGGAATGCACTGCAAGCCATAATGCACTTCAACTACAGGTACTGTGCACAGGCCAAAAAGGACACAGAACTCTGAGATCTTTATAGTGATCTCCATGGTTTTGTTGATGTGGTGGTGGTAGTGATGATTTGTACTGTGGTAGTGACCACAGGCTCCAATCAGAATCAAGGCCATATTGTGCTAGGCACTGTACATACATACAGTATGTGGGAAAGAAAAAGAAAATGAACTGTTTATCTGTGATACAGTTTTTACATAACACGGCAACAGTTTTTTATATTATTGTTGTTATTTGCAATAGTGACCTTGGACTTAGAGATAGCTAATAAAATCCTTGCTGAGCTCATTGTCTAGCCTGTTTTCTGGATGCATCATAAGGCTCCAAAATAAGTTTGTTTTCTACAAGCACATAGATCTAGACTTAATTTACTCATACCTGAAATTTCCACCCTTCTTTTAAGAATTTACTACAATTTACTACATATCACTACAGTTTTTTCTAGTTTATCCATGTGGTTTTGATATTTTTTTAGAAGCCTGACAGTATTTTAGTATCAATTTTCCCCGTGGTTTCAACAGAGCTGCAATTAACATGGCTTTATTTGTTCAACAACAAATATTAGCACCACTACTCTATCTTGCTTTGAGCTTCACCATCATTAAAGAAGACAATTCAGCCCAGAGAAGAGTGCTTTATTTGACTGCCCTGCTGCCCAGCCAGCAGAGGGAGCTCAGAGCTTTATGGTTTTGTCAGCCATATTGCTTTTGTCGGGGGCCCTAGTTAGGTTTCATCAGCAGATCTTGAATTTCTTGCAGGTATCTTTCACAGATTCTGAGATCAACCTGAGAGGAATAATATGCATTTTCAAACACAGACACCTATATTACACCCTGGAAATACGTGCATAAATACTGATATTTAATGTTCACACAGAGCATAGGAGGCCCCATCTGAAAGACCCACACCCAGTAAATTTCATGGTGCTAAATATATCTCTTTGCAAGGAGTAAAGGTTGGGGCAGGCCTCAAAGTTTTGTAATCTCGTGCTCCACAGAGTCTGGTGGTAGGGTGGGGTCGGGGAAGAGAGAGATTTTCAAAGGCACAAATGGCAGTTAGGCCTTAAATCCTAATGAAAGTCATTGCAGATTAGGCACATAACTACCAATTATGCCTTTTAAAATCTCCCCCGTAGTCTTTTTCAAAGCTGATGCTCACACTGCTCAGAGATCCTTTCTGGTCCTTGGGACCCCGTGCTCTTCTTTTCTTGTTCAGAAGACAGAAGCAACCCCAGCACAAGAGGGATGGCGGGGGGAGGCTTTGAAAGGGGAAGGAAGTGGTACTGCTGTGACTGCTTTCTGGGGGAGGGACAGCTGAAGGCAGCATGGGTTTATAAGGGAGCCATGCTACCATAGGGGTCGTGAGACCTAGGGACCAACATTGAGAATCCAGTGACCGGCAGAATCATACTTAGGTTATGTCTACACAGAGATTTTTCAGCCCTGTGAGCCTGACTTAGCTGACCCAGGCCAGATGTGGGGTTTTTATCCCCATGTAGACTACAATATCTTCCCCAGCATAAGGTGACCGACCAGAGATGCATACAAACTTCTATGCCTTCTGTGTTCTACACCCCTGTTGACATTTGTTTAGGAAAAATGTATTCTGAGAATGTCACAGCTCTTCTCTTTATATGGTACTTAAAATGTGTCTTGTGTTTGTGATTAGCACATCAGGACTATCGCTATCTTCACATACCTAATTGTACGTCGTTGCTTCAGATCATTTGTATTTGTAACTGCCACCTTAATTCTTTCCAGGACCATGTGCAGAGGAGATAATTCTATCCTGGGACAGTTGAAAGCAGAGAGTAAGTGCTTTGTTTCCCTCTCTGTGTGATGTTCATCATCAGGCCTTGAGGACACTAAACTTTGATTGATTAGCTATAAAGCATAAATGAGCTCATCCACTCGCCAGTTATATAAACTTCAATAACATAACATATTGCAATTATGTCAAATATCAAACATCTTCAAAATAAGGAAAACACGCTAGCCAAAAACATCTGTGTATCTGACGAAATATAATCAAGCAGTAAGATCCAATCGATGGCATCCTCGTGGACAAGACTCCCAACATTTATTTCTGTTTAGCTTGATTTTGTGGTCAAGTTGGTTTCTAACATTGGGTTATGCAGCACAAAGATGGAGTGAGGACAATAGAAGTGTGCATTTTATAGATTGTTGGGTGGGGAATTCTTATATATGATTCTTCGCCACTTTTGGATTTCGTTTATTGAGTCATATAGCCTTGGGTTTTAGAGATGGTTTTTTGTTACACTGTTGCTTGGCACCCAACGACCACACAGAGCTAAAACTATTTAATTATAACACTGTTATCATAATTGCTTTCCTGGGGTCAGCCTGCATTCTTAAATTTGCTTGGATGGAAATCAGAGCACCACGAAAAACATGTTTCATAAATACACGTGCCATATAATACATCCTTGATTCATGTATTTTTGTCTAAATCTGAACTGTAGGTCATTTAAAATAGAAAATGGTTTCCATAGCATGTGCAGACAAAAAAATGGTTACAACCTCTTCCCCACAGCTCAGTCAGAGAAAGCACCCAACTAGCCAAATGATTCTCAGTTGTTAGCATCAATTGGAGGTGCTAGTATACAACACAAGGTAGAGTTTGGTCCAAAATGGGAGAATCCCTGGGTAGCCAGTCAAGCTGGCTATATGGATCAGAATGGCACAGAGAGGCATAGCAGAGTAACATCTATTTTAAAGAGACTTATTTACATTCTGTTATTGTTAAGGAGATGTTGAAAGTTAACTGTTTTGCTTTTCCTTGCTTTTATATTACTAATGACCACCTCTCACTCTCCCACCTCATTGTCCCTTTTAATCCTCAGTTGGAGATCAGTGGATAAATTACATATCATTCTGTGGGCTTCGAACATACGCCGAGCTGGACGGAAATCTCGTCACTGAACTCATCTATGTTCACAGCAAATTGCTTATAGCTGATGACAACACTGTCATCATTGGTGAGTAAAACAGTTAATAATAAATTAATTAATTAATGGAGATGTCCTATCTCCTAGAACTGGAAGGGACCTTGAAAGGTCATCGAGTCCAGCCCCCTGCCTTCACTAGCAGGACCAAGTACTGATTTTTGCCCCAGATCCCTAAGTGGCCCCCTCAAGGTTTGAACTCACAACCTGTTATACCAATAGAATAAAAACCAGCAGGATCTTATTAAGAGGGATAAAGCAAAGATGCCACATCTATTGTAAATATAATGGTAAAGCAAAAGATAAAAATAAACAACATTGTTTCACTACTTATTCCTATCACTACTTATTCCTTATACACACACACACACACACACACATATATATAGATAGATAGATAGATAGATAGATTCATTCACACAATCATTCATTCAAGTTCTGTATAGGTGTTATAGTTACCAGCCTAGAAGTTGCTCATGCCAAGTTACTGGCCAGGTATCTTGGTCATGAGGATGGAGCCGAGTCTGTGTCAGATGCACCTGATGTTCCTGGAGGTTGGCAGCAGAACCAGAGACTCAAAGTCATCAGTCTTGAGAGTCCATTCTTATAGGAATTAATTCCTATGTTAGTCTATGGGAGCTGTTTCATTCTGCTGTTGCTGACTCAATCAGCAGATGGCACATTCCTGGATACATTCTTGGGCACATTCCTGGTGGCTCCAAACTGTCCAAAGTTTGTGTTTCTCATCCTTCCAGGTGATGGGGTGGATCGCAGTTTACCCTCTGGGGGTTGTCTGGTCATCCACTTGACACATTCTTCCGCCGATGGATATTCCCTTTCTAGGCTAGCACCTCCCTAACCATTCATGTATATCACGCATTCATCAGCGTACATTCCATATCTTAACCATATTTTAATTTACTGTCTCCACCACTTTTGGGGTGTGTGCTAATTCATTTGAGACTCCCAGCCTTTAATCACAGAGGGTGGGGGTCTGTCCTAGGAGCCGTTGAATGAAGTGAAAGTCACTTAACGGCTTATAGTGTTTGTTTACATTGTATCAGTTACTTCAAGAAAAAGTCAATTAACTTGTTTGTAAGTTTTACATAGTAATAAAGTATCTTTCACAGGATAGATACAATCAATGGTTTCTACAGACAGTAGCTTACAAGTTTTAACAGAAGACCCAAGAGATTTTTGTACTTGGTGAAACTGTTGGATTTTAAAGTGTGGGGACAAATTATGAGGGGGTCACTGTCACTTGGGGGAATCATTGTTAGTACCTTCTCTAATATCCCTGCAAACCCTGGGTTTAGCCGGCCAATGCTCAAACCGCTGAGCTATCCCTCAATTGCAGAAGAAATTTGTACCATTTGACTACCCTGACTGAAAAATCCTGTTAGATTTCTCTGCCCTGTACAAAGTGCACATGGCTATCACTACTTGCTGTGCTCTCTTCCATTTTACCTGCTAACCCATTCCCTGTGTTGTATATTGAATTTAAATGTAAAGTAATTACGAGTTAATGGGGAAAGCGAGATGGAGGAAGGCTTCTAAAGTGTATTGATTAATTGATAAAGAAATGTGGCTTTGAAATTCCCCCTGGCAGTTAAACTTGTCCCACCGCAGGGAATTCTGTCCATTTGTTTTCATCAAACTCAGCTTTAGCCGCTAAATTGCAGGAGTTGTCCTCTGTTCCTTAAAGAACAGAATGTGCTGTGAAATTTGGAAGACTTGGGGAACATGTGACCATTAGGAAAATATGTTATAACAAGTCATAGATGTTGTTCATCTGTCTCTCTGTTATTGTATATTTATTATAAGGCCATAAAATAACAACATACGGCCAAATTCAGCTCTGATTTATACCACAGAATACAAGAGAAGAATTTGACCCAGAGTTACTACTATTTCTTTAAGAGAGCTCTTTTCAGCCTGTTGTAGCAGTACGAAGGCTTTGCCCATGAGCATCATAATATTAGGTCTTGTAAGAAGCAGAACGATACTGTCCTCCTCAGAGACAATCCTGGTAGCATACAGCCTTAGATAGGTTGAAGTTTGGATCGGGAGGGTTTTGCTACGTATAGTTGTCTTTTTGATAGTCTTCTCACGTCTCTAGTATGAAGAACAGCCACAATAGTTTTACTATTGATGATCATAAACACAGGACTAATTCTATGGTGCATCCACCTAAATGCAGGCAGGCATGGTGATGTGCTATCTGTACGTTTTGCTGTCGTCCAAGGGTATGTCTACCCTGCTGAAAAAAAATAAAAAGACCCACGGCAGCAAATCTCAAAGCCCAGGTCAACTGATTTATGTTTGTGGGGGCTCTCACTCTGGGGCTAAAAATAGCAACATTAATGTTCAGGCTTGGACTGGAGCCAGGGCTCCGACACCAACCCCCTGGCTGGGTTTCAGAGCTTGGGCTCCAAGAATGTCTACACTGCTATTTTTAGCCTTGTAGTGTGAGCCAAAGTCAGTTGACCTGGGCTCTGAGACTCGCTGCTGCAGGTCTTTTTACAGTGTAGACATACCCCCAAGAGGCTTGGGCTCAATGTACCAGCTGTGGAGCTAAATACATCCTCAAGTGCTGCCCCCATGCACCTGACACATTCCTACTGAAGTGCCAACATTCTAGTTGAAAAAGCAAGGCCCTGGTTCTGCAGCTGCAGTAGGAGAGCAGTGACACAGAGGTTTACAAGCTAGTGAGGCACAAATTTGTCCTACCTTAAATTTCCTGCTGATTAGTTGATTTAAACATCAATTAATTTGGTTAGTTCCTCCCCGTCCCCCAAAAGAAAAGAATTCCATGTGACTGAAGCCCTGAGTGATTGAAGCACCTGGGAATAAATTCTTAGTTCAGCTGCATTGTGGAGGAGTGTGAGTATTTTAAGGGGGTTGATTTTATTTTTCCCCCTCTCACTAGCAACTCCTGATAAAGTGGTAGTCAGTATATTCAGTCACTGGGATTACTAAAGCATCTGGGTTTCTTTCTGTAGGAACCCGTTTGTTGCAGGGTTTTTGCTTTGCCTGGAGTGTTTTGTGGGTATATGTTAATTTGCTAAATCCCAGCTATATGTAGTCTCTTGCTGCTCCTTCCCCCAGAACAAACTCTTGCCTGCTTTTCTGTGCCACGTTTTTTCCCCCCCCGATCTCTGTGCAGTACAGGTTAAGCTGCAAAGTGCCTAAGTGCATTGTCCATTTTATATATGCAGAGCGATTGTGCACTCACTTTTGGATGTCCAGTCAGTGGGAGATGCAGGAATGGGCACACAAAGTCAGACACTTGCTTAGGGATAGTTGGCAGTTTCTCCCTGACTGTAACAGGATCCTGACACAAACACCCGTTGGAAATAGCTAAGGCATTAGAATGATTCTTGGCTGCGCTGGCAGTTAGCTGATCTGTGTTGAATGAGCTGGTTGTCTGAGCCCAGTTCTTAGCATGTGTGTGTCCCCACCATAAAGATCACAATCAGAATCTGAACTAATTGGCACCTGGAAAGAGTGACTAAAGACTGGATGGCCATAGAGAATCTGCCAGTCTTGGAGATGATCTCTGGAGAACAGAATGAAGCACTAGCCAAGTACCGGGGAGAAGTTTCTACTACCCATCTCCATTCTTGTTATATGGCCAAATACCCTTATTCTCCAGTGCCGTCACTCTGGCACCTTTAAATTGCCATAACTGCACTCAAAACATTTTTAAAGAGAGGGGGAAAGTTATAATTATACATTGGGACGTGTGCATATGTTCTGAAAGAATTGTCTGATATTTTGGCTCTTTACATTTTGCACAATATGTTCTAATGCTACCTCAAAAGCACAGCAAAGAATAGAAAAAGAACAAATGTTCCTGTTGGTTAGAATGGCCTCTACACCCCTGCAGGGTACGTTTTCATTGTATTGGCAATACTTGGGAACTGGCATACATGACTCTCCATACATAGAAATGAAAATTTGGCCCCTGGGAGTTTTGGAAGCCTTACTTACTAGTTGCTAGAAACTGGAGTTCTCCACCTCCCTCAGTGCAGTATGACTCAGAAATGATTTCCTTCTTTCTTAACCCCACTCCCCCCCCAAAATACCCTGAAGGTGTTTTCTTTTTCTGTTGTTTATTTTAGAAGAAACACTAATGCTGCGTAAGTGGGCTCTGCTGTGCAATTTACTTTAACACTGATTCTGCCTGGGCTTAGGGCACAAATCCAAGTAAAAAAATTTCCTTTCTTTTGTTATGAAATAAATGAAGAAAAGAAATTCCATAGAATTACTTCAAACAAAGAAGCCAGCTTGTGTCATTAAACATATTAAATAAAGACCAAATTAAACTCTGACCCTTGCCCTTGCATGCCATGGTATCGCTCTGCAAAAATAGCTGGAGGCTACTGAGAAATTAAGCTTTAAAACCTTTTGTGTTGGATTCAAAATTGTTTAACCTTCTTTCATGCTCTGGAGTTTATGGAGAATGTGGAGACTTTCCCCCCCCCCCCACACACACACATACTGATCTTGGCTCTTTTGTGGCTCTTTAAATCAGAAGTGGCTTTGATGGAGGGTCTGTTCTAACAAATCTTCATCTCGAGACTCTCCATCCTTAGCAACCTAAATTGTTTTGCTAACGAGAATAAAATGGATAATGTTCACATGGCATTTACATTGATCTTCTCCAGTTCCAACAAGTGGCAAAGGTAATTCAGCCTCCTCTCTACCACCTGCTGACAAAGGAGAAGATTTTTAACCTATGAACTCCAGTAGTGTTTTATCACTTCCATTGGAAGAGACTGAGGACAATTGAGTTCAGGTCGGCTAAGTCCAGGCAGCTGAACTTGTCATATGCACAGGCAAGGAACCACACAGTGGGATGGTAGAGGGTGGTCGACAGTAAGTGATGGTGGTAGGATATACACAGAAGAGTGTGAGGTTGGAGGAGAGCTATTCATTGAAACTCTCCTTTACACACAAGAGTGGTGTGTCTTTCTACCTAGTCTCAGGGCATACTGTGAACGCTGGGGCCCTGCAAAGGAGAAGCTGGCAAGACCCCATTCTTAAAGTTATTTGGTGCCTAGCTCCCATAGCTTTGAGGATCTGGGTCTACATCCCGCTGGTGTTAAACAGGCCTATCACCTTTGTGGTGTCGGTATGTATTGTTTGTGGTGTTATAGTTTCTTTGTTTCCCTTGAAAGGCTCTGCTAACATCAATGATCGCAGCATGCTGGGAAAACGCGACAGTGAAATGGCTATCATTGTGCAAGACACCGAAACCGTCCCTTCAGTGATGGATGGAAAGGACTACAAAGCCGGAAGATTTGCTCAGTCACTCCGCCTCCGGTGTTTTAGGTATGAGTGCTAGAAACTAATTACGGTGCATGGAAATCTCATGCTAAATTCTTGGGTGCCAGGAAGATCTTACCCACTGAGGTCTTTTCCCAGCAGGTTGTGGTAATTAGTATTTTGTACTTGTGCAGGAAGATGCAGTCCTGCTGCCTTGCAGGGATTGCATTCCTCATTGATTTTGAAAAAGGGGCATCTGTGCAGTTGTCCATAAAGGATATGCACGGGATTAAAGATATGAGTGGGTTTAACTCCTGTAAAATCAATGAACCTACACCCACTAACACATGGACTGAGTTTAGCCTAGTGTCCCATTCCTTCCTTCCCCCCTCACCCCCCAATGACTATTTGGATTACAAATCTTGGGAGTCTGTTTTGGTTAAATTTTTCCTTGACCCCTTCAGTAGGGGGAACATGCACAGAAGACAATGGAACTTTGCTAAGAAATAAATACTGCCACTGCACTGTATCAGTTTTAGGTGGTGGTGTCTTTTTTTTTTGTACTGGGAATTTGTTTAATCAGAGAAGCCATCTGGCAGCAGCACAGCTATTTTCTCATTAGAACACTTTTCCCCCCCATTTTCCATCTGGATGGTTTTTAAACATAAAGGAGGAGAAGATAAGGCAGTGCTAAGGTTGACAGACTATTCTGTGTAGGAAATAGCGGCAGACAAGGAAGTCTCAGTGCGCGCAGCACCATCTAGTAAGTATTGAGGACATTATCTAAGGGAACCCTTTTCTTCTTCAGGATTGAGTTGTTGGGTTGTTGTTTTTTTCACATCGAAGAGGGAACGTGCCTAGTGGTTAGAGCAGGGGAACGTGAACACAGGGCTCCGCTACTGACAGCCTGATTTTGCAAGATGCTGAACCTCTCTTGGGAGATGTATATTCTCGGCTCCCATTGGTGGGACTGACTGGTATTCTGAACTGATGACTTCAGTCCCCTTCCATTATTACCTTCTGGAAAACCTGCGGTTGATTTTGCAGACGGTTTCTCACATTCTGATAAACAATATCCCCATCGTTTTGGTATATGTTTGTGCAATGCCTAGCACAATGGGGCTGCAATGCAAATAATAATAATAATAATAATAAAAAATAACAGCATGGGTCCTTTATGAGTTTTCATTTTTGGACGGTGTTCTAGGGTCACTTAATTCAATAACTGCACATGACTAAAACAACAAGGAGTCTGGTGGCACCTTAAAGACTAACAGATTTATTTGGGCATAAGCTTTCGTGAGTAAAAACC